TGGGCCCTGCCACTACGAGATGAAGCAGTTCCTGGAATGTGCTACCAACCAGCGAGACCTGACCTTGTGCGAGGGCTTCAACGAGGCGCTGAAGCAGTGCAAGTACAGCAACGGTGAGCCCGTCCCCGCAGGAGGGAGCTCTGCCGGGAGCCTGAACCCTGTCTACCCGAGAGGGTTCAAAGGCTGTGGAAACAATCTGTCGAGGTTACGGTGCCCTTCAGGGCTTTAAATAGGAAGCAGTTCTGCCTTTCCTGTGTCCTGGAATGTGGGAGGGAGCAGGAAAGGGCAGGAGAAATGATCCCGACTATGTCTCTGAAGGTGAGGAGGCTGTAGGTACCATCTTAGAGGTTCTTGCTGCCGTGGGAAGCCTGCTGCTTTCCCTGCTCAATTCCCTAATTCCTGTTGCATCTGTTAAAAGCAGATGTCAGTAGTTATATCTTGATCTGGTCACCTTAGGTGAGAGCTTTTATTAACTCCAGCTGCTGGAACATGTGCTGAATGCTGACCTTGTGCTTTCTCCCCTGTAGGTGTTTCTTCTCTCCTGTGAAGAATCTGCCCCCTTGGAGGGAAGAGGAGCCTGGTGTAGAGCCCTGCTGCCCGCAGGGAGCGGAAGGACAGACAGGGAACAAGCTGGAGGGAACAGACTGATGAGACAGGAGTTTTATAGTGGTAATTCCCTTCTGGAATAGTAGGGAAGGAAAGGAATGGTTGGACCTGTAGGACTTGGGAATTCAGATAGTGCTGTATTTATGACAGACAAATAAAGGAGTTTATTTGGACCTACAACTTGTGCATGTTCTTTATTTAGTTCTCAAGCTAAAATTAAGCCACCCAAATGTTAGCAATATCAGCCACTAAAGGACAAGGCACAATTGTCTTTCCTGCAAAGAGGAGGTGCAGCCTGGCATGGTCTGTGCCTGCATGACTGGGCAAAAGCAGATCCACAGCTGAGACTGGACTGGCAGCACTCCAGACCAAGGAGGGACTGGAGAGAGGTAATAGGAGATGTGTCCTACAGTATTTTCAGTAACAAATTATTTTTCTGTTATCTTCTTCCTGAAGAGCTGTTCTGACCCTGGAGCTGAGAAAGTATGACCTGTCTGGCCGTGTGACTCGGATACAGTCGGCTGATCTTACTTAAAAGCCTTAGCGTGTTATGCAATGTTCTCAAGGTCACCAGCATCAGGGTTCAGTTCGGAGCTGCTTGCTTCTTACAGTCACTATAGCAGAACAGTCTCATGAGTGCTGCCTGCAGACTGGCCTCCAGCAGGAGACCTGGCTCCTCATGGTGGTGTGAAAGAGAATTTTGAGGCTTCAGCTGGAGTTTTAGTGGCACAGCAATGAAACTATAACACTTTCAGATGCTTAGCTGCTGAGTTTTCATGGCAGAATTAATCTGTTAACTGCTGGCCTCTAGCTGTTGAATATTGGGCAAGTAATCAATCAGCACCTTCTGTGGATTTGTGGGGAAGTCTGGGTCTAGATGGTGACAGCTGGCAGTGGATATTGGAGGCTGGTGTTGAAAGTCCTGCTCCTTCTAAATGTCAAGACCTAAATTCTTGGTGGTAGATGATGTCCTGAGCTGTGCCTGGCCTTATCTGTGGTGCCTTGTGCTCTCCAGAGGGACAGCCAATGGAAAAGGTAGATGCCAGAGAGTCAAAGCGCTCTGTGTGCTGAGCTGCCCCAGTGTGAGCAGGGAGGAACCAGTGTAAGAAGTTGTTTTCAGAAATAAATACTAGACTGATCTTGGTGTGTGCTGGTGTGGGTGGTGTGAAGCTGTTGAGGAGAGCCATCAGGACCACCTGCAGCAGGTGTGTGCTGTCTTCTGTCCACTGTGGCTGAGGGCTGGTGGTGGTGCTGCTGCTGCTGGAGCTGTGGAGGCTCTGGATGCCTCTTGAAGCAGGAGGCTGCTGCTTGTGCCTGGCTGTGGTGCTGTGTTTATGTGGCTTGTCAAGGTGTGGCATCCAGTGTGGTAGTGTGAACCTCTGAGGGGAGCAGGGGATCCCAGGAAGAGCAGGTTAATGGAGGATTCTTGCAAGCAGAGGGTGAGTGCTTTGGGCAGGACAGCATGGTGGTTGAGCACTGCTGGTGGCCACGCTGTGTTTGTGACCAGTGAAGGGCCTGTCCCATCAGGTCCTTTCCTTATTTAGAGGTGCCCTTGAGCTCTGAGCTGCTCTTGCTCTGCGAGGTGGACCTGGCTGGGGTGCTGGTGAGGGGCTGAGCTCTCCTCAGCAAAGAGCCCCTTCTCCGATGGTCTCTTATCTGCGCGTTTGCCGAGAGCTGCTGCAGCCGATCTGTGGAGTGGTCCCCCCAGCAGTTAGGTGTGTTCCTTCTGTGCTGGTCAGGTGCCCCTTAATATGTTGAGTGAGGCTATGCCAACCCGTAAGACTACAGACTGCGAGATGGACCTCTGGGTTCCCTGATCCCTCCTGTTCTCCACCCTGTTTGTCCCAAGAAAATGTCCCCTCTTTGCTTCGGACCCCTCCAAGCTGGTGTGGGGTGGGAGGGCAGCAGGTGCCTGCTGTCTTACTAACCAGGAGAGGTTCTGCAAACCAGCTCTGCCTTCTGCTTCTCCCTTCTCTTGTTGCCTGAGTTCACTTGCTACCCCCAGCCATGACCAGTCCAGGCTCGTGTTGTGAGGGGGCACAGCGGACAGTCCCGTGTGAGGCGTACAAGGGCTGTGGCGGGGAGGGGAGTCACACCAGCACTCTTGGCTCCTCTGTGGAGGTGAGGTGGCATCTGGCTCTTACCTACTAGGTCAGGGTAGTGGTTCCCCAGGTTCTCTAGCAAGGATTCATAGCAGGTGGCTTCAGAGCTTTCTCCCCCTGCAGGCAGAATGGGAGAAACGGGTTAATCTCTCTCCTGGCTCAAAACTGAAGTCAAGACTTGTAACTGGGGCAGGTGGCTCTGCCCAGAAAAGGTTCCTCCTCCCTCAGAACAGCCACCTCGGACAAACACAAGGTTCAGCTCCAGCTCTTTATGTGAGCTGGCTTCTGCCTCCTCAGAGCTGCTGTGCCATGTCCAAGTGGCTGCTGAATAGACCCCCTCTCCAAAGCTGCATCTTTGTTTCTAGGAGGTGACAGAGTTTTCCTGGTGTGTGGGACAGTTACTTGAAATGATGTGTGACACCACCCCCTAAAGCAGACTTTTTTGGTGCAGAGGCTGAGCTGTGCCTCTCACTGAGGAACTTACGGACGACTCTGATGAGGATGTAGCGCTCCCTTTCCTGTAGGTATTTACTGGTGAATTCAAATGCGGGATTTTCTACTTTGCTTAGGTTCATCAGGGCTCCCATTTCATCCAGGAGATCGATGCAGTCTGGCGAGAGAGAGAGATGTAGTGAAGAAGGTCTGATGTGCCCTTGTGCAGCCAGCATGAACCTCTGGGGTTTAGAGGTATTTTCTTTGGCAAGTTAAGCTTTGAAGAGAATCTGCTGAGGTCTAGAGGGGAGGAGGTTTGCTTCCCCTTTCCCTGTCTTTTGGGATGATCTGGGATTCCCATGCGACCTGTTTGTTACCCCTGTTGCTTCTCTGTGGGTGAGTGCTGCTCCCTCCGGTGACCACTGCTCAGGAGCACTCGTACCTTCTGGCCTGCACTGACACTTCTTCTTCAGGTGAGCCATGAGGATCAGGACGCGGCACTGCAGGTTCACCATCTCTTGGCAGTTGGCTGCAGACAGGGAATGAGACCTGAGATATGAGTGTGGTCACCTTGAATCTGGGGGCCCCATGGACATGGCAGGAAGCACAGCTGGTGGCCAACAAGTGCCTGCTGTTATGGCCAGCAAAGGTGGGAACCCTGCATGGCCATCAGCAGGGCTTTGAGCTGCTGTATTACAGCCACGGCTGCTGGTGTTTGGTGCTGGGAATGCCCCAGGTTAGGAGCGGGATTAAACATTTTGATTTGGGGAAAATGGTTCTCATTTGTGAAGTGTCTCTGTCTTTCAACTTAGTTTCATGAAACGGAAGCAGGAGAAAGTGGTGAGCCCTGGCCCCTGCCAGTCCCCTTCCACAGACTTGTCCTGGTCACAAGGGGAAGGAGCTGGAGATCACAGCTGAGTCACCAGGGGATGTTTTGGCTGTGAACTCTCACCGAGTTTGTCACGATTGAGAAATCCCCAGGGCTGACACATGTCAGTAGTCAGAGCTGGGGATCCAATTCAAATAGCAGAGGGAGCAAAGGCTCAGGACCATGTGCATCTGGCAGCTTCAGCTGCAAGCGTCAGGTCTCAGCCAACTGGGCAAGGCCAGGACAGGGTCTGCCTGTTCCCTCCCACCAGCTGCAGATACCTGCTTTTTGCAGCCGCGGGCCAGGATTTGAACCAGGGAACCCTTCCCACACTGCGGGGAGCAGGGAAGCTCCGCTGGCAGCTGTCACTTCTGCCCCATGGCTCTGCTGGTTGTGTCTAGATAAGCAGAGCCCCCTCCTGTGATTCCCCAGAGCTGCAAGTCTGGGAACTCATTCTTGCCTCTGGCCTCCCTCCCTGCAGTTAACTTGGCTCTGCTGGGATGGTTTTCCTCTGTGATTCGTTGTGTAAGGGCTAAGGATCTCCCCTTTTTTTAAACAGATGAGGCAAAGGATGCTGATGTGCCCTGGCAGAGCTCTCCTGCCCTCTTCCCTAACCCCTGGGCATTGCTGTGCATCAAGGTGCCATGTCCCTCCCTGTCCCTCAAGGGGCCACCACCTGATGGTGATAAAGATGGTCCAGAGCCGGCCCCCAGAGCTGAGTTAAAGCCAGTGCTTTCCCCATGTACCTCCGTATCTCACTGTAGCGAACATGGTGCTTAGCGCGCCCGGGGCTGCTCTCCTCCGGCGGGGACCTAGGCCTGCGATGTGGGTGCTGCTCGTGCTGGGTGCTGTCCTACAGGCAGCGGGATGACAAAATGCCCGATGGTGATGGCATCAGCTGCTGCAGAGCCCGGGGAGGGGCTGTGTTCCCAGCCGGTGCTGTCATGGTTTCAGTAGCCAGATTTCCCAGCAACGGGGAATGGCCCCCGCAGATTCCTGAGCCTCCTGCAGCCGAGGAGTGGGGGAGAAGGGGTAGGGCTGGGCTGGGCTAAACATCAGCCTGTTGGGAAGGCTGCTCGCCCTGTGTGGTCCAGGCTGCTCTCAATACCAGTCTTTTCACTGTCTTGTGGTGTGTCCTGCAGCTCCTCTGGGTTGTGATGGTGCCAGATCTGCCCACCCTGCTCCCAGCTGAGCCCAGCGCTGCTGTCAGAGCAGCTGTGATCTCCTCTGCGAGGTGGTTGGATGCCACCAGAAAAGTGTCCCTCAGGACCCTGCCTGTGCTGGTCCTGCTCTGGAGCACGAGGCAGTGGGGTTTCGTGGCTGGGGGGGCTGTGGGCAGTTGTCAGGACAGCAGCTGTACCTGCGCTGCAGAGCAGGAGGGAGCCGCAGAGCTGAGCAGGAAACACGGGGTGGTGCAGCAGTAAGTCCTGGTCCACGTTTCACCCTGGCCTGACAGGGATAGCTGTGCTTGGTCAGCGACGTGTCAATCTGGGATAAAACCGGCTTCGTTTGGGTGAGCGACTTCTGTTCACCGAGCACCTCTCGTACCTCGTGCAGGAGGGAATAAAGCTGGCAGAACAGGGTGAGCACAGGGCTGGGCTCGTACCTGCTCTTGCACTTTGCCCAGCCAGGCACTTTCCTGCGTCCCTGGGCTGTCAGAGCGATGTGCATGGCTGATCCACCAGCTGCATCTTCCATTTGGTGCCCAAATGTTGCTGTACAAGTGATCCTGCAGCAGTGCTTAGAGGACCCTGTAGCAGCATCCCCTTTTCCTGTGGAGAGGCTGAGACATACGGATGAAATCACGTCCCCGGGCTGGTCAGCAGATGTGGAGGACCTGAACGGTGGGAACTAGTAACAGTGTTGATGTACTGCACATCCAGTGCTCGCTGCTCCATGGAAAAATTCCCTTTCTCCAAAATGCCCCTCCTTGGATGAGGAGGTGATTTCCTTCTGCCTTGGTGTGTCTTTGTTTCACAGTCTCTGTCTAATCCATGGACTTGATCTGCTCAGGGTTTGGTGATGGGGTGTTATGTGTGACATCCCTCACCTAGGATACGTGTGCAGGGTGACTCGTGTTCACCTTCCAGTTTGGGGAGTGCTGGCGGGCAACAGCTGGAGCTGTGTCTGCAGCGTGCTCGTACCTGCATGGTCTTAAGGGCCTGGCTGCATGACACAAGCTGCTGCTATGCTGCAGTGGTGGGGCTTCACAAGGCCGGAAGACATCAAGGCAAAGCCCCAGCCTTGAATGAGCTTTGGAGCTGGCCTCATGCAGCTGTTGCTGCCCGCTCTAGGCTGGCTCTAACAAGTCTGATACAGCATATTTGCCCATGTGGGCACAGGTCGGACGCAGCCAGGCTTTATCGTGTGTGCAGGGACTGCTGTGTGGCACCTATACGTTCCACGTCCCCCGGCAGGTGTACAAGAGCCCTCATTGCCCTCCTGCACTGCAGCAGCCCAGCTGTGCACGGTGCCGTACGGTCCCACCAGGGCTAACTGGCACCTCGCTACCGCGTGGCACCGCAGGTGCAGACCCTGCTCTGCGGCATCTGCATTATAGCTGCTCTGACTGCCCCAGTTGCTGCTCCCGAGGGAGGCTGTGTCACAGTAAATTGGGCAAGCTTGCGTGGGAAGAGCTTTTGTTAGACCAACCGATAGAGAATGTGGAAAAAATAGACGAGCCATTGGGTGCACCAGCCCTTGTTCAGAGCACTGCAGCGTAACGCAGCAGAGGAAGTGTCCAGCTTGCTGCATCGCATCCTTGGATGATGGTGGTGCTTCCTCTTTCAGGATCTGCCCACGCCAGAGACATGGTGCTGCCTCAGAGCTCCATTTTTGCTGAAACCTGGAGCATGCATGGGGCCAGACACGTCAGGAACCACTCGCAAACATCTTTGGCTTGGGGACACCTTGGGAGCAGGGCTGGGTGCCGCAGAGGTGAGGCAAAAGGCCATCCCTGGATGGCGATGGGGTGGCACTGGGGAGCTGAGCCTGCACATGGGTATGGGACTGGGTACAGGACACTGAAGTGCCTGCTGACCACCCTGCTGCAAAGGACTGCCACAGGCTAGTGGCTGGAGGGTGCAGAGACGTGCTGGGGGTGGGCCAGCCCTTGACTGTGGCTGGCTGTGTAATGTGGCGTCTCTGGCCGCTGTGATGGGTGCTATAGGCAGGAGGGGCTTTACGCCCAGTGGGCCTAGCAGCCTTTTGCTCTAACGGTCTGCTGTCTTTCCGCACAAAGCACCAGCTGTGCTGCAGCCACGGCTCGCTGCACTAGCTCCCTTGGGAAATGCCTTCTGGCAGGTGACTTTGGCAGCCACCCCCGCACATTTGCCAGTGGCTGCTGTTTCTGAGGCTCCCTGGCGGAGAGGCAGAGTTCCCAGCACCATCGGCGGCTCGCGGCAGTCATTCTCGTCACAGTGATGGAGCCGCATGGAGAAGGGAGTGGCAACTTCCCTCGTGTTGCTTCTGCGATGAGATGGCTGCCAGGAGGCTCTGGCATGTCCTGTCTTTCATTCTCCCTGGTGGCAGGCGA